GTTGTTGTGCCGGAAATCTCAATGGTGTCTCGGATTCTTCTTGGAAGGCAATTCTGGATGAGGTGATGAGTTCTGAGACCCATCAACCTGGGAGGGGGATTGTAAAGACTGATGCCCTTGTGGAGGTAGCCATTTAACTGGAGGGTGGTCTTGATGTACCGGAGTTCTAAACATGGATTGCTCTGGTCCCAGATCTCGAAGGCTCTGTGGCCCCGTTCAAGCTTCCACATGTAACACGGGGGTTGGGTATTTTATTTTGATGGAAGGAAAGTCTGGTGTGAAGCATTCACTTTTCCACTCTAGTTTGCAAGCGGAGAACTCCACTGACAAGACACTGCTGTTTTCACTGTGGAAATCTGCCTCCCTTGTCTATCCACCATTTTTTTTCTTACAAAACAAGAAAATGTCCTCTTCCCACCAAAGCCCAGGATTCTTCACCTACTGTCTAAAGTTCTAAATCTGATTTGCTGGTCCTTGTGCAATAATCCTTCAAGGTGGCAGGCATTTATAGCGACACTGTGGTCATGGTCGCACGAGGACAGTGGTTGTCTGCCCGTGAGATATACGACAGGCAGCTATAGCCTGTCATTAATTGATGCACAGCACATTCTTTATCAGTAACCAATACACTTGAATAACAATAGTGGATTTTTTTCCTCCATCTCTATTATTTGGGCCTTCAAGTTGTGATCATCCATAACTGCCACTCAGCTTTCACAACAATTCACTTAAATTTCAACAGTGACTCTGCCAGAGATGCCACTTTTCCAATTTTATCAGGATTTCCGGTATTTTTGAAACCGACCCCTGAAATTCAATTTTTCCTCCTTTTTCAAAAGAATACACAAACAGGAATGCGTTTATTTTCACCTCGAATGCATCTCAAATTCAATGACAGTTGTGCACTGCATGCATGGCATGCCTGTGTAGCTTTGTCCCTTCATTAACCTTTAAAATAAGGCTGCCGAGCTTACATGCAGTGTTGCATGCACTGCCTGCACCTGTATGCCTTTGTGATTGTCAAAACCATGGTCAACGGGAACCATGGTCATACATGTGTGTTTTCAAAAGACGAGCTGTTGATTGATGTCTACAACGTAATTGGCACGGTTTGGAGCAAAAAATATCATATGTCATGCTACAGATTTCATCATAATATGACAAAATTGTAGAAAGAATAGACATATGAAAGCCATCAAATCAAAGGTGAAAAATAAGTAGAACTGAATATGGCTGGGTTCATGGCTTAATGCATCCCCCAGTGCACATAAGGAATGTCTGTCTTCTCGAAGGCACTGTCTGCACTTTACTTCTTCCTCCTTCAAAAGTGCCAACTGCATGTAGGATTACTTGGTGTGTGGCATTGGACTTACATAGCCAATGTCACTAAGTTATATACACAGCCAATGTCGCGTTTGGTCTTTTGCTTTTAATTTGTCATGGTGATGGGATTGTTAATGTCACTTGAGCATTGAAGGGGGTTTGATGACTTTGGTTTGCATACTTAGATGGCTGTTTGGACAGTGTAAGCCTTTAAGTGTTGCAAAAAATGCACTTGCTGTACAAGGATATGTGCTATTAGACAGACAAAAATACAAAATGTGTGCAAATCCATGATCATAGATTTTCAGGAAAATACACGTCTACAAAAATCACAAGCTGATGTCATGATGTCTCGTTGGTTTTACCTACAACACATCCCTATGTACCCACGTACAAGATTGAACTGAATTCAGTGTACAGTTGTTACTGTAAAATGTCATCATGGGTTTCACTATTTAAACTCACTTCACAGGATTGAACTCAATCATACTTGCTGTTATCTAGTAACAGGACTTAAAAATGTTCACCTTTGAAATTATGTCAAACTCATAATGATGTCACAATGTGTCACTTCTTATTTAAACCATAATACATCCTAGTCTACCTATCTACCAAAAGTGAACCCAATCAGATTCAAAGTTCTCTAGTTATAGGGCATTAAACTGTGCCCCTTTAAGATGATGTCACCCGATGTCATCATAGCGTAACCCTAGTAATCATAGAAAATACATCCCCGTCTACATTCAAATAAAAAGTAAACTAAATAGGACTCAAAGTTCTATAGCTATTGACCCTTAAAGTTACACACCTTTAAGATTATGTCACATGGCCTGTGATGATGTAATCATTAAATCACCCCAACTACCCCTGATAAAACATCCCTCTTTGAGTGAATGCCAAGTTTCATCCATGTCGGACTTGTGGTTCTGAAGATAGTGGCCTACAAAGAGTACAACTTGGTGGAGGTTTCAACTTAAGTGACTTCTTTTGGTGCGATCTTAACTCTTCTGAAGAAAATATCTATGCAAAATGGTCATTCCTTTGTGTAACTTTGCTTTTTTGGGGTAACTTGGCAAAAGATTGTAAATTGCCCAGAGTTGCCCCTAGAAAACTGTATATAAGGCCAAAAAAAAAGAATTAGTGGGTAGCTCGTGCCCTGTGCGTAATGTTTTGTCAAACATAAACAGTAGACCATGGGCAGGTTACAGAGTTGCAGCCAGCTGGTCAACAACAACGGTGGCATGACATGCAAAATGCTACTACTAGCCTTTGCTGTTTGATTAAATGTGCCACTCATTTCCGTGTCTGTTGCCAGTCTTAAAAAGCCACCCCACCCCCCAAAAACGCATCGCCGCATCAACTCTGGAACTTTGGTCTGACCAGAGACCAAGTATTTTTATTTTTTTGGCCTAAAGTGTGTTTTTAGACATATTCAAAATTTAATAATAAATGATCTAATGACGTCATCATGACATCACTTCATGCAACACAGTGCAGTAAAAGAAAAAATTCAGAAAACGAGCTGTTTCTACCTATGCCTGAAATAACTAATTACAGGTACTATACCCAGATACCCACCTGTTATAGGAATCAGGTACCCGGTTCCCGTCCTATCACCAGTAGTTAATGTGTGTACATGTACAGTATTTTTTAGAACAACAACATGCAGAAGTTTATGCATAGGCCTACATGTACTAGACACTGGTTGCATCTCCCACAGACCACAACTTTGTTGGAATACAAAGGTCTTCATGTTTGTGCCAGGTGCCTAGCTTAAACAGTTCCAGCAGCCTTTTTCTTTGTTGGTGAGGGAATACTTGTGCACACAGTGGATAGTACTCCGTTTGCAGCTTTTGCATGCTTGAGTTTACATTTCTACCACTGACACTGACAAAGAACACTTAAAGTGTTCTTTAAAGTGTAGAAACAAGGGATTTTTATTTATTTGTTTGATCAATTCACTGTTCCTCACAGGGTTTCATTTTAAATTTAGGTATCTGTTTGTCTTTTCCTGGCAATGATAAAAACTGCCTGTTCACTACAAGCAAAATTTGCGAATTCATACTCTTTGCTGCTGTCTTAATCCATAGCTGTACCCAATGTTTGGGATGGAAACAAGATTCCCCCCCCCCATTGTCAAGGAGTTTAGAAGTAAAAAATGCCTCCCCTCATTGATATTTGCCTGCTCTCAGGACAGGTGAACAGGTGGCCAGTGGAGACACTGGTTCCTAATCAATTACAACTTCCTAATAAAGCAAGCAGTCCATCTGGAGGAATGTTTTAAAGTGTCTTTACTGTTCAAGTCATTAAATTGTACCTTTCAACTAACAAAGAAATTTTGTCAAAATCGCATTACTGAAGTTACTTCTAATACTTCAATAATGCATTCCATAAATAAGTATATGGTTATCGGACTTTATCCCAGCTTGAAAGAGTCATACAGGTTAAGTGCTGCTGTAGCAGTGCTGAACTTCAACCAGGGCTGGTGTGTTTGAGCAAGGTAAAATTTTGCCAAACTGGTGTAAAATCGGCACTCATTACCTGATTAAGAAAAAGGATCAGCCTATCCCAGAGTCTTTGTTGGTTTTCACCTCAACATCGTTTTAAATTTCTCCTCTTCTCTCCCTGACCACCCTTGTTTCAATATTGAGTGCATCTGCTGTGTTTTTGCATAATAGCCATGGGCCAAACAATGCACAGGATACATTAGCCTTTAGTTAAGGCGCCCCTGGTACTCTGGACACCAGTACAGTGGTAACATGAAACCGTGGCATCCCAGTAGTAACAAGAAACCCATGCGAGTGGTGAAGCACCTCGAGCGTCTTTACTGTCTCCTGGAGAAGGCTTTTTTTTTTTTACACTCCTATTTGGTGGGGATATCTCATGCATAATGCATTACATGTTGTGGATATTGGCCAATAAAAATTACTCGCACCCATTCAAACTATTGACGTCACACCCACTCAACCATGAGGAAGAGACAGGCAAATTTTAATATTTTTCAATTAATCATTGGGTCAACGATTCTATGCGCACACAGGGAATGATGAGAGCCAATTATAATGGAACAGTTGTGCATGCATATGCTGGGCGCTGAAATGAAGTGTGCAAGGTGGTGGCATTTGCATTTTTCATAACTGCCCCGCATGCTCCACAGCTTATACCTTAACTAGGTAATATTGTGTCTTTGCCACTCTCACTGGTCTTCCTCTTGTTACCAGATGAGCATCCAGGGTGCCACAGGCGCCTTGACTATTGGCTAAGGTTACATAGGTTAAACCCATTTTACATTGCTGGATGAAACGATGCATAAATACCTCGACTTCTCATGACGTCACTCTAAAAGAGATATAGTAATGCATAATTGTATAACACATCAAAATAATTGTAAACAGATTGTGACAGAAAAGCTCCCACTTTTGATAATTTGAATATGTTTTTTCAAACAGATGTGAAGCCCACAACGAGAAATTAAGTGTGTACTGCTGGACCTGTCACAAGTGCATATGTCACCAATGTGCTCTATGGGGTGGGACGGTGAGTACTAGCAATAGTTTATTTTGACATATCACTAACATTTGCAAGAAATGGTCCATTGTCTCTTGATTCAAGGACAACAGGTTCTGTGCTCCTCCCTATGGGTTTTCAGGTAACTCTGTAGACCCAGTCTGGCAAGTGAAGCACTGGAAGAAGAGTGTTGTGACAGGTGCCACAGCAGCTCTGTGATGGCATTCACAGGTCTCCTCCTGTTGCTCCCTGTACTTTCTCTCCAGGGAAGTTGTAGCTTGGGGGAGGGTGAGAGTAGGCCATTGAGAATGGTTTTCTGCTGCTTGCTGAAGGTCTGATTCCCTGACATGGCACCACGTCAGGTTCCCTTTCACACCATCTTTGTAGCGCTTGCTGGGACAGCGCTTCTTTCTGCACCCTTTTGACAGTTCCTTGAAGAACAGGCACTTCGGGATGCATTTGTTTCCCATCCCAGATGATGTGCCTTGTCCAGCACAGCTGGGCTTTCATTAGCGTGAACTTGATGAATGATGAATCTGCTCAATCAAGCATTTGAAGGTTGCTGATCTTGTTCTGCCATAATATGCCTAGGATAGAACAAAGGGCACACATGGAATTTCTCCAGCTGCTTGATATGCCACCTGTAGACAGTCCAGGACTCACAGCTGTAGAAGAGGGAGGTGAGAATAAAGGCAATAAAGATATTCAGTGTTGAGGGCATGGATACAATGTGGTGATTCATCACCCTGGCCTGAAGTCTGTCTAGTGCTTAGCTCATTTTGCTGATCCTCAATTTGATCTCTTTGTCAATCTGACTGTCACTGGAGATACATGTAACTCGGCCTGAGTATCTACTACTGTCAACAGTCGTTAGCATATTATTGACGGTGATGGAGGTGTGAAGTTTTGGGGAGTCAGTAGTTCTTCCCTCATCTTTCACCTCTGCAGTCTGGGGTCAATTCCTGGCTTGGTCCACATGTGGATTGAGTTTTCAGTCCCACCTGATTCTGTGGGTTTTACCCAGAATGTTCATCTGGGGTTTACCTCCCTCCTCTAAAACTGTAATTGTTTCTCATTGTCTCCTCTCTGCAGGTATCTGCAGGCATGCAAGCTACTGTGCCTAGGGTACTTTTGAGGAATCCTTGGTGTCATTACCAGAAATGATAAATAATAATATTAATAATGCCCCCCAAAAACACATTTCTATTTTCAAGATGTATTTTTGCGTTGGGGAGATGTTAATTATATATAACAGGTTTTGCCCTTANAAACCTCACAAGCTTACTTGGGTGGGACTCGAACCCACAACCTCCTGCTTACTCTTGCTTATTGATGTATGTAAAAATTTCTACTGTCAACAATTCTTAAGAATTATGAACAATTTATACCAATATGCACGACACTTGTTGGGTAATCACAACGGCAAACTGGTCAACAGTGTCTGTGCATTGTGTGGTAACTGTCTATGATGCATCCAGACAGGCAGGCCATAAACCTTGTGCCGTGGCAGGAAAATTTTGTGGAAGCACACTTGCTTAATTACAAGTAAAACAACCTCAAATTAAACTCGTGAACATAGAAAATACACACATTTAAAAGAGACTAAGTGCTTTGAATTAACTGGCAGAAATCTTTTTTCAACATTGATTTTTTTTGTCATGCAGCTGTAGGGTTGCGTACATGTACAGCTGGTGTAGTGTAACAATGCTATTTGTATAGGGGTAATTCCAGAAATTAGGGGTCCTTTTTTTTTTCGTGTCCCCGTCACATCTGACATATGATTTTGTTGGTTCAGAACACATTGTCTAATTTCCAAGATAGATTAATTAATACAAATTACCTGCCAAACAAACAGTAGTAGTTTGAAATCAATTCCGGTGATATTTCCATGTCAAATAACAAAGGTCAGATGTAACAGGGACACCAAAATGTCACACTTTTAGATCCCTAATTTCTGGAATTCCCCTAATTGTTGTTGCTACATTTCCATCACATGTTCTTTTGCATGTGCACGACAAGAACCGGGGCAACCTTGCTTTAATGTATTGAGTTTTTTGCACATATTTTAACCACTGCGACAGCAAAACATGAAGGGAATTTGTCAAAATAATGTTGTTGTTTTTTTCAGAAGTTGCAATGTAAGTAGGAAAACATATATAAATAAAGCATTTTAATGTGAGAAGGGCTTGTTTAGTGGTATTTTATAAAGACAGAAAAGACAACAGGATTATTTTTTATTTTTTACAAATCTTTTTAAAATGAATTTTGTTAAATTGTTGATAACAATTTTATTGTTGCCCCAACAAATTAGGGTCAGTCAGGAAACCGGAAGCAGAAGTATATTTTATGGGGCCTAGTAATAATAGGAGGCTAACTGAAAAGGTCTTTGGTCTTTGCCAGGCTGATCAATGGTTAGCCAAACTAACTGCTTTGATGCTTCAGGAAAACTGGTAAGCAGAAACTAAATGTCACTAAATCTGCCATCAGAGCATCACCGTCACTGTTGCCTACCCGAGTGAACTCCAGCAGCTCCAGTAGTGACAGTGACCTACCTTTAGTGTTGAATGTTGTGATATGTAAATTAGGGGCTATTTTACTTAGCGTATGCATACAATGCCATCCGGCTTCCTGCCTTTCACTTTTCTCCATTCCTGGGTGTGTATGAATAAAACCACTAGGCAGTGGCACAGGAAACAAACTTTCTTTGTCCTGAATATTTTACATTCATCACACTTCATGGTGGCAGCGGTGTAGGAGAACAATCATAGAACACGCCAGTCTCGGGAAAACTACCCATGAACTCAAAATCTGCCACGAACAAGCCTTAGAGCCCACTGCCAGCTGACATCTAGGCCTGACGTTTGATGATGCTACACACGGCCTAGGCTTACGTACACCAACTACATGATGTACTGTACATGACGTATGCTACATACACGTACGGGACACGAACGGCATAGGCTAGCCCACACAGCTCAGCACCGCAGCCTGTGAAATGTGAGCTAACATCAGCCTAAACTTCACCAACTGTGTGCGGATTGGGCGACGATCAGCACACTAACGGTTACTACTAGTGTTAGTTGTTTTCCCAACCGAGCAGTGAAATCAGCGACCGTCAACGTCCACATTTCCTCCGACCGAGCGGTAAAACTGGAGTCGATCAGCAGCCTGTTTCTCCCCCAACTGAGCAGTGAAACTGAGCTATCATCAGCGTCCACATTCCCTCCGACCGGGCAGTGAAAACCTACCGATTAGAGCCAAAACATCCCGGCTGACGTAGCAGCGAAATCCTGCGGCGACTATCGTCCGGACCTCGTTCGACCAACATCGACTGAGCAGTGAACCTGGGTCGAGTAACAGCACCGAGGGACGACCGTGTTACCAGTGTAAGGTCTTCCCTGAACCTTTGAACATTTCTTCCCATACCATCCCCTTGCCGTGAGAAAGGAATTTTCCCCAGCTGACCTGCGGATCAACGGAACTGCCTAATGTATGTGAGAGTAAATTCATTGTTTTGTGCAAGGTACGAATTGTTTTCAATCCCTGAAAATCTTTTCATCAAATAAGCCGCATCATCATTTTTACGGCTTCATTGAAACTTTACATTTCGTGGTGTCGGTGCCGCCCGACATTATCTTATGCAAGTTTATGTGTGCGGATGCATAAAGTAATCTTTTAACATACAGCACAGTGTATTGACACCGCACATTGATTTTTTTCTGAGGATTGACCTTTGGCCGTATCGCTCCGCCATAACCGTCCAAAACTCCATGGACAGAGGACTTTCTGCCAGTATCCATCCGCGCCCTCGCCAGAACTGTGCATCAATGGAATCAACGAACTTTTGCAAAAACAAAATGAACGTCGCATGGCCCACAAGAAAACATAGACTTGCTGCCAGTCCAAGGATTGAACAATTCTGGAGAACAAACTGTGAACATTGGACATTGAGTAACTGAGACTCTTGCATCGTAACTAGATGGATATATTTCTTTGATTGGAAGTGCATTTAATGTTTGATATTGCCTTCGCTGTGTGATATTGAACTTGCTGTTTGATATTGCAATCACTGTATATTATTGTACTCTTATTAAGATCGGTAATATTTCGTAGCAGAAAAACGTGTTAAAAACCTATGGCAAAAACTGCAGCTTTAACCACTTCATGCCTGGGCATTTTTCAACATTGATGATGCTGGGCCGGCATAACTATCATTTTTCTGCTTTCAAAATCCTTCAAAAATTCATCATTCCATGTAACGGTCGTTTATAGCCGCACAAAGTAATCTGTAGGCACTACTCTAAGTTGACAGGTGACCTTCATTGACGACCAAGTATTTCAGCCAGGCCTGCAGCCTTGTAAACAGAGCCCAGATTGTACGGTGTTATACAACTGTCTTTTGTTCACGAACCTGGCTCAGTGCACTGCTGACCTCTTTTCAATAGGGGCCAGATTAGCATGCAGCGGTGCTGTGTGGCTCATTGCTGCGGTGGTGGAGCGCTTTTGTCCCCGGTGGTAATCAGCTTGCTCTCAATGCCCCAAACCCTGGTATACGGTTTCTAAATAACGCTGGATTATCACCACCTTTGAGAGCGAAAAATGCCGGTCATGCCCAGCAGCCTGGTCTTTTGTTCAGAGTACGGTCTTTTGTTACAGGGCCCTGTTTCCTTTGTCCAAGTTCGGAGACCCCGGCCACGCATATAAACCATACGGCTCCGATTTCTGAAAAAGTCTGAAAAAGGAAAAGAGTACAAATTAGAGGAACGTGGTTGTGAACAACTACTGAGCTGTTTCGGAAGTTTCTGTTTGGTGATGACGTCATCATGACGTCATAAAAAATATTGAGAAATAAATAGTAAATCACATGATGACATCATCATGACGTTATTTATTTGCAATAATTCTTGTATCAGGGTCTTTGTTTGCTGTCACTTTCATGGCAATCAAACATTGTGAAGGTTCAAAATAGTGGCTTGAAAATGTGTACAAAAGTCAATGGACTGAAAACACCTATGCAAAGAAGCTGCTCC